TACACTTTAAACACAAACATGGGCGAGGACTGAATACAGATGCATACAGGAATGAACTGCGGAGTAGTACGCAAAAAGGCCACTTTCAAATCAGCTGCCATATTTGCCCGATTAAATCAAAGATCAGTTAATGAAAAAAGGATATTGAGATAACACCAAATGTATAAACACGAAAAGCCAACTGTCATTGGAGGCTTGCATAAAATGGGATTTTCAATATGGCTGTTATGCTAGTTAAATTTGTTTCGGAATAGTTCCAGCAAATAGACATCGGTACACAGCTTAAGGCTGCATTGGTCAATAACAACAACAACAACAACAACAACAACTATAAGGTGGTGGGCCTAGATAGGGAGTATTTAGTCCCCTGAACTAAACGAACATCACCCAGTTAGGGCTAACCCCCTGAAACTGGTTCAAAACTAGAGAAAGTGAAGAAATTCATGTTATAACTCCGCCGCACAGTCAACCTCCTTCCGGTGTACAAACCAACCAAACTAGAGATGGGACTTGTCCCAAGTGGAGGCACAGAACGCGTCCAAGAACATTCTGGACGCAAAAACCGAAGTCCACAGGTGACCTGAAATACTACGAGTAAATGGCAAATTGTTGCAGCAGCATGAGGACAAAGCCATGCCAATGTATGCATATCTGAACAAAACATCCGTGACAAGCTCCGGCGACCTAAATTATATTTGCGACGTGAACCTGGTGAGCTAGCTGCCAACACTCGTCAGGCACCCTTGCATGAACCCTCAGTTCAAACAGTAACAGACCCGATATTGCAAATGAACGTCCGAATTATTCTCCACAAATTACCTGATGCAGTCACTGATTACACACACATGGGCTCACAAATGAAATCCTTGATGTCGGCCTCGAAGATTTTGAGTTTTCGCCCGAATCCGACCCTTCTCTGTCAACGATCTTTCTGATGACCCATTGTATATTTTGTTTATGGTATTCTATAATCAAATCTGTGATTTACCGATTGAGAAACGGAGGCCAATTAAACAATTTAACCAATCATTTCCACAGTATCAACTTGATAGCTTAAATGACGTTATTTCTGTCACTCCTAATGCGGACTGTTCTTTGCATGTCATTAAATGTTGCGTGTATGGTGCTGCTCGAACATTGGAGGAACTTCATACAGCTTCCAAAGACAATGAACCACAAAAGGGTAATAAACAAAATCATGAAAAGAAAAACCGGTTCCAACTTAAACTAAATGAAACAAGGAAAGCAATATCCTGTATAGAACTTTGCTTGACATTATGTTCGTCAGGACAATCAATGTCAAAACGACAAAAGACAAAAGACTGACATTGGGAGAGTACCCGGGTTTGCTGCCAGGAATAGAGCCCTTCTGACAATCTGGGCAATGCAGAGGTTGGGGAGTCTTCACATTCGCCGAAAAGTTCTGGTTGGGTTGACTGAAGTACTCACGGAAATGAAAAAAACCCCTGTTTTTTCGATCTCAGATTTTAAATAAATGCAGTTGATATACAAAATATATAAATATTCAAACAACTCAATTAGTACTAATTGGGCCTTGGCACAAATACAGCGTATCAAAGGTTTTTATGTCTTTTTACACGTAAAAGTGTGTAAAAATATGAACAAAACAGATTATTGTGAAACTGAGCATAACCAGGTGTTAGTAGATCAAGGTGAATGTCCATGACCTATGACACCTTGACGACAGGTGAAAACAGGTGCTTGAAACCCATTAGCATGTGATTTGTCAGTGGTTAGTGATTTGTGAGTGGCATTGTGGGATAGTGAATCATCGTCAAAATATAAGAACGTAAAAGTAACATATTCCCTTCTCAAACAACAACTTACATGTCATTATTATTATGTACATAAACATAGCTGTTATTTTTATTGTTGTTTAGATAATTTTTTTCCAGGCTAATTTGCATAATGCCTATAGCCTGTTTCTGCCATGTCAATTTGGACTTAGTTTCATTTTTGAATGTTGAAAGTGCCTACAAATTACCTCCTGTAAAGTACATTTTGTATTGAGCACTAAGATAAAACTAGCAAATCCAGACTAGTACTTTTCCAGTTGTTTTGTTATTTCGTATTTACATCTACGTAATGCTTTGTGTCGATTATTAAATCCAGCAAAACAGGTTTTTTTCCATTTCCATGAGTACTTTAGGCAGCGTTTCCTGGGAGAAGTCCCATTCGCTGTCTGGGCTGCGTGTAGAGGGGTCAAGGGCCCTGAGCTGATGATGAGCCTAACCAGCCTGACTGTGCCAGGATCACCCAAACCCTCTTTGCTGCATTTTATAGTTTAATCTGTGCATAATAATAACAACATCAACAACAAGAAAACAGCAACAATTTACCAGTTATTAATTATTCTTTTTCATAATGAGTTTGTAATGTAATGTACATTAATGCTCATGACATTAGCTCGCTCCCACATCAAGCTGACACGCCATGATAAACTGGATTACCGTTCAAAGCGGCGGTAAATCCAACTCACTCACTCACTATCTCACACATGAACGCATGAACCCGTATCTTGCAGGATCTCCTAGCAACGCATTGGAAAATGTCAGTTAGGGCACCTGCACATGCTATTCTCTTGCTGTACTTTGGTAAAATATCAGTTTCTAAAGGACTGCCATCTACCCACCTGTTCCCGCACGGCTGTAACTGCAGACCGATCCAGTAGACCTTTGGGATTGCGAAGGTACGGATCTCGTCTAAACAGACGGAAATAAAGTTTATGCCACGCCCTATGAGAAGCATATCTGTAAACTGAATCAACCAGTGGTAATAGTTACAATCCAAATCAGAGCGATGCCTTTTGTCCTCCTCCACAGTTTTCCACCTCAGCGACCGACCATTAAATAATAATGCGTGTGTACGTGCGTGCTTGTGTGACAGGATATTTTTTCGATCCCCTTTATATATTCATATATTTATATAATAACTATGATATATATACAGTCAAACACCATTGTGTCGAACTTTGATTTGTCGAACTTCCGGGTTTATCGAAACAAAAGCCTTCCTTCTTTATTTATCAACCTAGGATAACTCGAAGTATTTCCGTAGGTCCCTTCAACTTCGACACATACGTGTTTGACTGTCCTTGAACAAATGAAATGGAAACAGGAGCTGATATTTCAATATTCTTATACCCACCATGTCAAGCGAACAATGTTTTGTTGTAAAAAAAACAGGAGGCATTTTTTGAAAACATAAACCCAATTCTACTCCATACTCTGTGTTACCTTGTCCTTTACTTTTCTACAAGAGCTACAAGAGGTCCCCAGCACGCTTTGGTCTGTTTTGAAAGGGGGCTAATTTGATCAGATGGTCAGACTCGGTTACTTGGTTGATTGCATATCATTGATGAAGACGTTACCCATCATATCTACCCATGATTCATTCGACCCATCCCAATTATCGATAGGCCGCGTCGATGTTACTCCAATATTACTTACTGAGGCGTGGGGCCGCGGGTGGCCCAGTCGTCCAAGACGCCGCGATTCGCTGTGCAGAGTTGCGTCCCTTTGGCATGCCAGAAACCTATGATTGTGGGTTCGAATCCCGGTTCGCCCAGATTATATTTCTAGGTTTGTCAGCACCATTCACTGAAGTGGTAAACGTCTGAGACCTGCATCATTTCGGACTTTCCTCCGATATTAAGATGACACGCCGCGATATAACTGTAATACTGTTTAAAGCGGCGTTAAACATAACTCACTCACTCACTTATTCACATACGTACCTATATCTTCAAATATTTTTTAAAAGAAATCCAATGGGACAACATATTATTGAAATCGGAATATACGTTAAATTCATAGGAAGACAAAAAGTGGATTTAGTTTATAATTTCGTTGAAATACTATTCTAGTATAGGTAATCATTTAAAATATAATTCCCTCTCACCCAACTCACTCACTCACTCACGAACGAGGTTTACCATGTACAATTCCTTGGCAATAACCCAAATGCTGTATCCTACCTCGCTACTCTGCATACCTATCGCGGATACCTATGCCTCCATCCTTTACCATGAACGATTCCACTCTCATACTCTACTTTCCCTCCTCCCTACACCGAACGTTTGGTGTTTTCCTTTCAAGATCCCCCCCCCCCCCCCCCCCCTCCTTTGGCAGGAACACTTCCCACTGACTAGTTCGTAGTTCAACTAAACTCATTGTGATCCTTTCGCATATCCTTTTTCTTTTGTCAACTTGACGCTCTCTATCTTTTCCCATACTCTTCAGATTCTTCCTCATTTCTTTAACACACTTTGCTGATCGTAAGAGGCGACTAACGGGATCGGGTGGTCTGGGTCGCTGACTTGGTTGAAAGCATATCATCGTATCCCAATTGTGTGGACTCGATTATTTACAGACCGCCGTCATACAGCTGGAATATTGCTGAGTGCGGAGTTAATCAACAAATAAACAAACAAACATAACACACTTACTAAACTCTACTTCCTCACAGATAAACGAATATCAAAAGCATTTTAGCGCTTTTATGTCCAACTCATACGTACCTATTTCTCTTAAGAATTTGTGGCAGCTTCTTTTTTTCTTTATTGTATCCCACTTTACCAGATCAGCATCTTCCTTCCAGCACTGCTTGCGTGCTTGAAACCAGGTATAGCGCTCCTTTATATACTTAATGCATATCTTTGTGTCTTGGAGGTATGTATACCCTTCATGCCGAGAGCACGATTCTAAAAGAAAAACAATTTAGTGAACATCAGCTTTGTTCCAAATATAAATTTACCAAAAAATCAGATAATTCTAAATATGGGGTGTCACCATTTAGTATGTATCGATTTACCCAGAAGAGGCAGAAGCGATTCATATTTTCATTTTGCATAACTTTCAAACGGATATATTTACATGATTTTCAATAACTCTATCTAATTTAAATTGTCAATTTTGACCCCACTGTTGCCCGATAGCTGAAATATGCAAAAAAAATGTACGTCCCCAAACCAATGAAGATCAGCAGCGCATCGACGCCAACATCTCGAGGGATGGCATCCAAATCTGTATACTGAGATCTTGCAGGTTGTGCAAGATAGTACTGCGATCACAGTGGAAGCAGTTTTTGATGTCACCCCAGAAGAAGAAGGAAGTGTTGAAACCTACACCATGCCCTTGAGAGGAAGAGGGAGAGGGAGAGGGAGAAGGAAAAGGGGTGGGAGAAGAGACAACGTCTTGCCAAACAGAAACCCGTGAACGATCACCCGAAGCTGTCTCCCATTTAGTTTGACTATTAATCATGTTAACTGGACATGTGAAGGAAAAACCTACCTATTGTGTATTTTTACTTACTTACTTACTTTGGAGATTTAACGTGCGCTTTCCGACTGATGCGTATTTCGCACACGGGCCCGGCCAGGCCATTTAATGTGTTTCCGAAAGGGGCGAAAGTGGTCTGTGCAACCCAAGAGGGGGCTTTAGGGGTTGCTTATATAGAATTTGGGAATTTTGAGATTTGGAATAGATGCCGATGGGGTTGGGGAGTTGAACTAAGGGAGCTGGGTATGGTGGATGTTTGTTTGTTTATGTGATTTTGATTTGGTAGATTATAGTGTTTATAGTATATGCGTTTTATTAGTTCCGTTTTGATTAAGAATACGCCTAAGGCCTTGAAGTTTTCTAGTTTATTTTGTGGGTTTAGTATTGCTTCTAGAGTGAGAGCCTTGTTTAGATTGAGGGTGGTTTGTAATGCGGTTCGATGTGTTAGGTTGTGTGTGCAGTGGATGAGTGCGTGTTCTGGGGTTTCTAGATGTTTGCAGTGTGGGCAGTTACCTGTAGTGTGTTTTTTTAATTTTTTTAGGTGGTTATTTAGGTTGGTGTGTCCTGTTTGGAGTTTAGTGATTACTCTGTCCATTTTTTTTTATTTTGTGCATTTTTGCGTCGCAAATCGTTATATATGTGTTACTGCTTAAACAAACACGATGGGGATTATTTTTCACGGCCAGTGGTCTATTATACCCAAACCTGATGTTAGATATATAATGCTAGTTACAGATTGTTAATTGTTGTTTTAATTATTCACAATATCATAAGCAAATGTGACGCTTGACACATTCAACAATGTTCGCAATGTTGTTACTTTGTGGGATTAACTGAAATAGCAGAAACCGTAAATGTATAAGTTTATCCATATCAGCCAATGAAAACTTTTGTCACGCACCACTGCACGTGTACCTTCAGGCCACGCCCCCGAATATGTTTGTTTTGGAAGCCGATTACGGAGCTTGCGATTTCAGCACTTTCATTTGGACATTTAAATACTTTTAACGAATATTACGAAAATCCCTCACTAAAGCCATCTGGGATATTAGTAAGAGAACTCATCCCAAGTCACAATTGTGATGACATTCAGCCTCCAGAAAGTCAGTACAAAGGGTTACACCCTCCCCGGACTTTAAAAACACCCAAAGTTGACACTGCTTTAACATCAGAAGTCACTAAAAAAGACAACCCAACCCTACTACGACCAGTAGCTATCACTAAAATTCAAACTACCTGGGACAGCTGGGCCCATATATACATTGATGGATCCAAGAATCCTATCGACAACAGTGCTGGTTACGGGATCCATATCCACAGCTCCAAACCCTAAGCACATTCGGTTCGCCTGCCTGATGGTCAGTCAGTATTCACTGCTGGATTGGAGGCAATTCAGCATGCACTCAAACTCATACCGGAACTACCGGAAGCAAAGGCAGTCGTCCTATCAGACTCGCTAAGTGTACTTAAACTCCAATGCCAGGAGATCCTCAGATGGCTATACAAAATTCAACCCAAGATCCACCAAAAGCCAAACTCATACTCAAATGAAATGAAAGTTGAAATTGCGATCTCACGCCACAGACTCGGTCACAAAAAGCACTATGACAACGTTTGTCCATCTTGCAATCAACCTGAATCCAGTGCTCACTTGTCACTGGAATGTCAAGACCACGCCCCAGGCCGGGCTCGGTTAAAACAAGAATTACAGTTAGACACGCTATCTGTCATAGATCCCCTAAAGCCAAGAGATGCAATAGCGAAGGCCAAACTAACTCTATTCCTGAGAGATGGACAGCTACTCTAACGTATATAAACAGAGCAGCCAAAGATAAATATGAAATTATATCAATATACGAAAATAGAAATCATATCAATGCAAAAACAGAAATTATGTGAATACCAAACTCACAATAGATATGTGAACCCTACTCAGACATATTAGTCCCAAAGAGGGACAGGTCAGCCGAAATTGCTAAGACAGAAGGTGACCTGTCAAACACTTAAAGCAACAACACTACGAATTTCTCTCTCTCGGATATTCACTAAAGGTATGTAGGAGAACTGATATTCGCAACAAAATCGCAATTATTCTTTTTAGTTTATTACTTTTAAAATATCAATATGTGTGACCTTATTGGCTGAATATCAGGGGATTTGAACCAACTTTGACTGTTGCAATGGAACGTACAGATGTAAACTGCAAAATCTCTTAAGCTTCTTGTAAATCATTAGTTTATACCTTTAGTCATCACTCTCGTAGTCTGTTTACGTAAGACCTCTTGTGGCCACAGGGGGCATGACACATTGATGTCAGGCTTCAAAGTCGAAACTAGTTTGTTATTTTTAGTCATAGCTTGTGTTGGCTCATCGTGAATGTATAGCACACCTCCTCTCTGTGTCGATTCTTCATCTTTAGCTCTTATGATTGATGGTGTATTTCCACGTATTTCCTGGACATTGCCATTTGTTGAAGTCATCTGATCAGCAACCCTTCCCATGTGGTTTATGAAATCATCTTTGGTTCCTGGGTGTTGCTTGAGATGATCAGATGGAGAGGATGTGTGATCAGCTCTATTTCCTGTGTCCCTATTTAGTTTGTCAGTTGAGGAGGATGTGTTATCAGCCCCCTTTCCGGCGTCCCCATATGGTTTGTCAGTTGGAGAGGACCTGTTATCAGCTTCCTTTCCCGTGTCCCTATCTAGTTTGTCGATTGCAGAAAATTTGTAATCAGCTTCCTTTCCTGTGTCACTATCTGGTTTGTCAGTGGACGAGGACCTGTTGTCAGCTTCTTTTCCCTTTTCACTATCTGATTTGTCAGTGGGCGGGGACCTGTTATCAGATTCTTTTCCCTTTTCACTATCTGGTTTGTCAGTGGGCGGGGACCTGTTATCGGCTTCTTTACTCTTGTCACTATCTGGTTTGTCAGTGGGCGGGTACCTGTTATCAGCTTCTTTTCTCTTGTCACTATCTGGTTTGTCAGTGGGCGAGGACCTGTTATCAGCTTCTTTTCCCTTGTCACTGTCTGGTTTGTCAGTTGCCGAGGACCTGTTATCAGCTTCTTTTCCCGTGTCCCCCTCTAGTTTGCCTTTTGGAGAGGACATGTGATCAGTTTTCTTTTCTGTGTCCCGATCTTGTGTACCATTTGGAGAAGATGTTTGATCAGCATCTTTCCCTGTGGCCGTATCTCGGTTGCCATTTGGAGAGGACGTACGACCATCATGAAAGGAAATGTTATTGGTTGTCTTCTCATCACTTATGTGTTTAGCTGGTTTTTCTGCCTCTCCAAACGCCTTGATTGAATTTGTTAGGTCGAGCTTTGATGTTATGGAATCATCTTTGAGCTTTCGCAAGTCTGGGTTCTTAAATGGTTGGGTTGTATCAATATCATGGTCGCCATTAGAAAGGTTCGTGTTAAATCCAGCTGTGAATGCTGCTTTGTCGACACTCTCAATCTTGAGTTGTCCGTCAGGTACTGAATTACCTGGAATATTAATAGTATTAATCATATGTAAAGATAATGGAAATTGGAATACAGTTTCTTTCCCTTCGGCATGTTTGGTATCATGACTTTCATGTTTGATCTTTTGTGATACAAATTGCTTAAACAGAAACAAGATATTAACATCAACTCACTTCATGAATGTCCATTGTAATGTAGTATACCCACGACATAATAATCAGGTTCTTAAGTCATGTTAAATTGAAATACTTAAGATATAAAAAGACATTTAGAATGTGAAAACACAATGACCTGACGTTAAAACCCACTCGTACTCAAAATTTTGAACCATTTGTTCCCTTCATTCAAACTTCATTGAGGACGTTTTAATAATTTCTATACACAGTGGATAATGCGTTGGCTCCTCACGCTGAAAGATTTGATTCGATTCCCGACATGGATAAAATGTGCCTGATGTACCACACCACATTATGATATGGTCGGATACCTTTTCGCGAACACCTGGTGCCATCACTATTTGATAGAAATTCATAAACACATGCTTATGATATAGTCGAAATCGTACAGTGGATTCTGCTTTTGGCAGAGTTTTGTTATGAATATGGTTAGGGTTTGTCGCTTTTATTACACACATTTTACATTATTATTGTTTTTATTATTATTATTATTATTATTATTTTTTTATCATTATTATTATCATTAGTATTATTATTATTTATCTAACATACCTACCTGTGACCATACTGTCTTTCGCACATGGAATATTGCAAAGGATCCCTTGAGTGCTGCAACCTTCAAACTTCCTGCAACTGGTGTTTACAAAGTGCACATTGCAACTCGGTGTTGAAAGGCAGATGTTGACACAGATCATCGAACTACGAACGTTGATAGATTTGAAGAAAGCACCTGTTCTGCGAAAAGACGAATGCAGTGATTTTATCCTCCAAGGACAGTCTCCAAGGACACTGGTAAGTGATATTAGAAACACCCTCAGTAGCACACAGACAGAAACCATCATTAATGGAATTTATGACGTCCTTGAGTTTGGGCAATTCATCAAAATCGAGTATAGTACCGTCTTTCAACCTTGTATTGTAGTAACGCAAGCAGCAAGGTATTGTCACAGAGTGACTAAATGACACTTTATATGGATAACGTATTATTATTACATGGTACTCAACAAAATAGATTTGTATCAAGCACCGGTTCTGATGACTACAGTGACTTTTCCTCCAAGGAAATCTCAAAGTACACTGACAAGCGATATTAGAAACACCCGGAGTAGCACACAAACAGCCACCATCAATAATGGCATGATGCAAAAATTATGCTGGATCGGTGTCTGTTGAAGAAACCTAATGGGATGATAAAATATGTATATTGCAATTTAGAGTTTATGGTTAAAAGAGTATCACATATTTCACTTTGAGTCTCCTCATGTATTCCTCACCTGGTGAATATACCACCATTTCTTTACCCAGTCCTAAAGTTAAATAATATTAATCTGACTTTGATATCGCATCTATTGAATAATTGACTGCAATAATAATTAAAGATTACGTGATTAGATTATAATTTATATCATCACTTAACCATGTTTACTTAAAGAATAACAGCCAGAAACTTAATTATAATGAGTAATACAGTTGTTTAAACAGTTGCATTATTTCATTAAAATGTATATAAATAAATATCTACTGCCAGTGAATAGCTTTTATGAATAACATTCGTAACAAATAATTATCTCAAAACAAAGAAATATATTTTAATTTTATTCTGTTAAAATATTCCAGCAAATCACTATTCTTCTCACATAATTTTCCTCTTCATTCTAACCTTGAAAGGGATGCTTCCTTTCATTTACAGAAAAGCTGAAATACAGTTTAATGACACATTATGTGAATTAAATTAAAAAGCTTTAGCATGAACGAAAACCACTGACAATGACCATATTTAAATGTTTAAAATATATCAGTGCTCGAGTAATTTACAATAGTAGATAGCTTTATTTTTTTGTGATTTTGAAAAAACCCAACCATATCTAAACAGCTGTGTCAAAAATAATAATATATAAGAGAGCGGACACCTGATTGCACTTTTATTTAAATAATGGAACGATATTGATCTGCACTGACCGAAATCACTGTCATATTTCGTTACAGTAGGTCACGACTGTCACGCGTGTCCCGTTTCAGCTATATGGCGTGCTAACTCAATGACCGATATTTGCAAATGATTTTGTTGTTACAAGCATTATCCTTGTTTATAACATGTGCAAAATCCTAAATCTGCTACTTGTGATTTTCTCGTATTGAATATACATTTGCGTAAAAGTGCGAAAAGTCGAAAAATTCTTACCTAAGAGCAGACGTACATGTATTACCCACGTGGTGAAGATACAGGTGGTAGGATACTAAATCCGTACGTCACACGTGTGTCGTACAGGGTTGACCTAGTTTTATTCGTTTTGATTGGATAACCGTGACCTCTGTCACACCGGGACTACTTTTTTCATTCATAACAAATTGCGAGACATCATTCATTTTGCAACTACAAGTCAGAACTGAAGCAATCTCATGAAAGCGAGAGGTGTTTACAAACACTTTATTAAACCAAATAGGATAGCTCGTATATCCATTTACAATGTACGACTAGCCTACCGATCAATAGATCAAGGGTCCCCATGAGCGTGACGCACCCGACCACTTTCGCAACTTTCAATTTGATTTAACGTAAAAGGATAAGCGTGGTGAAATAAAGTCAGTTTAAACTATCTGGACAGATATCTAGACTTACTTGGGATGATCCGATTCTGCCATCAGTGTCCGGCCCTTGGAAGCGTATTTTATGGCACTGTTTGCTGTTTCGGGAGTTATTTGTTCACGACTGCACGACCAGATCACTCAAAGGGAACATTTCCGATACAAATTATTCGAAAACTCCTTAGAAGTGTGCCTGACTTCTGATTATGTGGCCCAAATTTATCCCAAATGTGAATGATAACATTCCCTATCTCCAGCGTAAAACGCTTTGAGTAGATCACAGTTGTCTTTTCTTATGCCGGTGGTGACCTTGCCCTTCGTTCGAAGCTGTCACTGACAGGCAAGCAGACTTGAGTTTGTTGATTTTCACGTCTTCAATATAGGGTCGTACAGTTAACATGGACGTCTTTGGCGAACATTCTGATTTCCCTCTTCAAATATGACACGGCCATGATATAAATTCAGCTGATAGATCAAGGAAACCAGCCGGGACCCCGTCCGTGCGAGCGACCGACTGTTGGTCCCATATTCAAAGCGCGGCGCTAATGTGATTTTCAAAGTTTCTTATAGGTGTCCAGCGTACTAACAACATGGCGCTTGAATTGCCATAAGTTGCAGAAATTCTTCAAAGAAGGATCCTGAGTGTCGGTGCTGTTATGTTTGCAAACACAACTGCAGGCGCATGTTGTTAATTCATATGCATAGAAATATCAACAATGCCCATATTTGGGCATATATCAATATTCATGCGCAACCAGATTTTGAAACCGGTTTCAGTTCGCTCGGTCAGATACCATAGAAAGTCCACTCGTTTCGTAAAAATGGTATCTTACTAGAACGAGTGTAGTATTCTCTTTGTAGGTGTAGTAGAAGATGGTGATGAACTGATCGTGAGCCCTTCATCCGCCTTTTCCACTTTTCTCCCGACCGTATGGGTTTTGTAAAGGTATACAGCTGATCCTAGAAATACGTAATGAATATTGCGAGTGATAACAGCACAAACTGTAGGCATATCGCTTTAGACTCATCCATTGAACCCGGAAGTAAGTCTGACAAATCCGCAAAGGGCACCCTGCCTTCTGATTGGCTCAAACTGACGCACGCACCAGTTTTGCCATTCGTGACCAAATCGTGTTATTCCGGGACAAGTCGAATAGCGACTCGTGCCCCTCTCGTGGCCATTTTTGCGACCGGGTTCCGTCTTAGCTCAAACGGGCATACCTAAAACAATTTTCAACTCGTTGCGTAATGGTTCACACATTTTCCCCATATATTATATATATTTCAGATGCAATTTAAAGCACACCGGGACGTGCTGAATTATACAGTATGATTGAACACATTTAACTGTGTCTTTGGTATATTTTTAGATGCAAGACATATGTAAAATCAAAAATTATTTTTGAGAGATTCTTTGACGAAGAACTTGAAATCATTCTGATTGGTTTGTCGTATTTTCGCACATAACATTCATCGTTAGGGGGACGAGTCTTCTTGCAGGTGATGGAAAGGGGCGAGTGGTGACGAATTCAGTTTTGCTTGACAGTCTGGATCAGTATGGTATGACAGTCTGGTGTTCCGAAGGCTGTTCCTGCTTGCTGGACTTGACTTGTAGTAGAGTAGGAATCACCAAATGATTTCTATAAGTAATCGCATTTGTTTTTTTCATAACCGACTTAAGACGTTTGGACTCATCTTATTCTTCGTCTTCAATCTGAACTAATTCCCGCGTCGATATGCACGTTGACAGCGTTATGAAAGATGAGAACATCAATAATATACTAAACATCATCTCGCCTCTTCACATTGAATCCATTTTACACCACCCTTTCAACAGCGACGTCTATTTTCAATTCTGAATTGAGATAATTTTCACTCTTAAGACACACTTTGAACATCCGACTCTGCTTTATACAGAGATTTCTATTGGATATGGAAAGGGTTTCGTCGCTTTATTTATTATTCATTATTTGAATTACACTCGCCGCAATCAGTACGTTATCTATTGCGGAGTCCCCGAGTAATCTGTACATTATATAGCATGTGTAATACTATTCTTCGCGACGTATATCCTTTCAAATGAGACTGACAATGTCAATTACTGCGCTACATAGGTTTCCTTGTTATTTAATATTCTGGAATTTTCTCCATCGAGTGATTCCAACACATGATTCTCCGAAGACTCTCAAGGAGCACATCCTTACATGAACAATTATCAAACAATTTAATCGTATTTTAACTCTAATTATCCCCAATTCTGCCAATAACCTTTCAGTAATTTATCCATCTGGGAAATATACTGAACCGTAAAAGAAACGTCACCCCAAGTAACATTGCATGAAGAGTTTACATTCAAATATCTGGATAACTTTTGACAAGGTTTCTAAAATTTAACATTACCTTGTCCGGAAAAATGAAATTTGAAATTTGTCCGGAAAAAAACAAAGCAGATGACATTAAAACCGATCGCCCAAACGCATCACGGCAACGGCCATGGTAACCCGATGCACGTGAGTTCCGTGCAAATTGAAATTCACATGCGTTCCCCCATTTCTTGCCCTATAAAAATCCACCCAGGTCGGATAACATTCATTAGTTACTGAATTGCTACCACATGCCAAGATTGACAAGAAATCAGCTACACCAAGCCCTTGGACGATTGCAAGCTGGACAAACCGCCCGGCAAGTAGCCAATGCATTTCAAAAGCCTACGTAAGGACCATATACAGGCTACACTACAGATGACCGACCACGTAGTGGAAGATCAAGGGTCACCACCCGACGTCAGGATCGTCAGATTGTGCGACAGCATCTTCAAGTTCGCTGTGTTACTGCTCGACAGACCATGGGGACTCACCAGCGACACATTAGAGCGGACATCGTGTGTCGAACATTGACGAGCAGAAACCTCCACTGTCACAGGCCACACCGAGGGCCAATTCTGACACCACGACATCGCCGGGACCGTCTCCAGTGGCGA